CAGCAGCAGCAGCAGCAGCAGCAGCAGAAACGGAGCAGCGCGCCATTGTGGAAGTGACATAAAGGGGAAACGCCAGGCAGCAGCAGCAGCAACAGAAGCTGCAGCAATAGCAGCAGCTTCTCAGCGCCCTCTGTGCCCAGCCTGCGGCTCGTGCAGCAGCAGCAGCAGCAGAAGCAGCAGAAGCGGAAGCAGTGCCAATTCAGGGTTCTCACTGTGCCGTGTGCCTACAACGAAACTCCCATTACAGCAGCAGCAGCAGCGGCAGCAGCAGCAGCAGCAGCAGCAAAGCATCTTGGGCCGCTATTGACGTTAGCAGCACATACAGGAGAAGCAGCAGCAGCAGCAACAGCTTTGGGAGAAGCAGCAACGCCAGAGCGGCAGCTGCAGCACGATAGTGGCAGCTGCAGCAACAGCAGCAGCAGCAGCAGCGGCAACGGCAGCAGCAGCGGCTGCTGCTGCACGGCATGACCTTTTCAATGCATTTTTGTATTTGTTTTAGCTAGGGACGTTCGCTCAGGATGCAGCAACAGCAGCTGCAGCAGCAACTGCAGCAGCAGCTGCAGCAGCACATTCAGCAGCAGCAGCTGCAGCTGCAGCAGCACCAACTGCAGCAGCTTCAGCAGCAGCCGCATATGCCGCAGCAGCCGCACATGCCGCAGCACCAGCACCTGCAGCAAGAGCTGCAGGATCAGCAGCAGCAGCAGCAGCAGTTGCTGCCTGCTGCTGGCCAGGGCCCATCTCAGCGATCTGGTAGGAATGTAGTGCCGCTGCTGCTGCTGCTGCTGCTGCTCCTTTTGCTGCTGCTGCTGCCGTTGTTGCTGGTGCTGCCGTTTTCGCCGCTGTTGTTGCTGCTCTCTTGCTGGTGCTGCTCCTTTCGCTGCTGCTGCTGCTGCTGGACTGCGGACGGGTTTGCTGCTTGTGTTGCAGGGCCGTTGCGAGGGGAGCTGCCCGTCGAAGACCCTCAGCAGCAGCAGCAGCAGCAGCAGCAGCAGCAGCAGCAGCAGCAGCTGCCGCCGCCGCCCCCGCCGCAGCAGGCGGCGCAGCACGTGGGGGCGCCGCCGCCGCCGCAGCCGCCGCCGCCGCCGCCGCACCAGCAGCAGCACCAGCAGCAGCAGCAGCAGCAGCAGCAGCAGCAGCAGGAAAGGATTTGCCAACTAGTTTTGGATCTTTCCGTAGCAGCAAAAAGAGAATTTGCTCTTCTCGAACTTTCCAAAAGAAGAGAAACTTATCCGGACTTGGCGCCGCTGCTGTGGCACTCTTTCGGGACCATGGCGGCCATTTTGCAGGAAATCATTTCCGCCTAGTAAACCCTAAACCCTAAACCCTAAACCCTAAACCCTAGTGCCTGGGCGCTGCACGCGGAACACGAGGGCCAGATGCAGGGGCTCCGCCTCCGGTGGTTCCCGGTGGACCCCTCCGGCTTCGTCGCCAGGAAGAGATGCTGCAGCAAACCCTAAACCCTAAACCCTAAACCCTAAACCCTAAACCCTTAACCCGAGAGCCTCAGCGGGGGCCAGGCGGGGCACACGCAGCCAGGGTCTGGGGATGCTAAGCCTCCCAGTTGTCCAGAACGTCGAGTCTAGGGTTTAGGGTTTAGGGTTTAGGGTTTAGCGTTCAGGGTTTAGGGTTTACCGTTTAGAGCTTTGTTATATTACAGGCACTGCGCCGGTGAACAACCACCCTGGCAACTAGGTAGTTCTAAGGTTTAGGGTTTAGGGTTTAGGGTTTAGGGTTTAGGGTTTAGGGTTTGTGCTGCAGTCCTTTTTTGTCCCCCCCCTCCTTGACCACCCAGGCCTCAAATAGGGTTTGCAACTCTTTGGCTTTGCTGCAGTGTGTTGCTTCTCACCAGGAGACGCGGCAGCTGCTGCTGAATGGTAATTTATTTATTTTAATTTAATTTATTTTATTTTAATTAATTAATTAATTAAATAATTTTATTTGTTTGTTTATTATTATTTTTTTAAAATCTTTTCGTCTTTTTTTTCCTCTCTTTTTTCTGCCACTTTGCTGCTGCTGTTGTTGCTCTTTTGCTTTTTGGTTTTTCTGTTTTTTTCTTTTCTTTCTTATCTTTTTGTTCTTTTTATTCTTTTTGTGTTTTTCTTTTTTGTTGTTTCTTTTCCTCTTTGATTCATTTCCATTTGAAAGTTGCGCTGCGTCGGGTTGCTGCCTGAAGTGCTGCTGCTGTTGCTGCTGCTGCTGGTGCTGTTGCCGCTGCTCCCACAGTCCCTGTTGCTGCTGCTGCTGCTGCAGTCGCGTTCTGCTGCTGCGCTTCCACTGCGCCATTTACATGGAGACAGTTTCGTTGAGACAACCGGCCTGCCCGTGTGTGTGCTGCTGCTGCTGCTGCTCTGCTGCTGCTGCTGCTGCTGCTGCTGCTGCTGCTGTTTCGCCGTTGCTGCTGCTTGTGCTGCTTGCGCTGCATCCCGGGCATGTCCTTCCGCGCCGCGACCGCCGCCGCGACCGCCGCGCACTGCCGCCGCTGCTGCTGCTGCTGCTGCTGCTGCTGCTGCTGCTGCAGCGCACATTCCCTTGTTTTTGTATCCGTTTTTAAACACTGTTTCGAAAACAAGACCTTTTGAATATTTGCGACTCACTTGTTTGGGGGTTATTGGGGCCCTCGTGAAGGCCGACGACCCTTCGGTGGTTTCCTTTTTGCTGCAAACGGAAATAGTGCCTTTGTGTCTCCGCATCATGGAAACTGGCTCCGAACTCTCCAAAACCGTAAACCCTAAACCCTAAACCCTAAACCCTAGGCCCTGGGCTCTGGGTGCCTAGCGCCCGCGCCGCGCCCAGGCGCTCGCTGAGGCGGAACTCCCACGCCCCCTCAAGCCCAAACCCTAAACCCTAAACCCTAAACCCTTGCTGGGGCGCGGACGCAGAACGCCCCAGTGCCGCCAAACCCTAAACCCCAAACCCTTAATCCTAAACCCTAATTTTCAAACACACAGGGGGCATGGGCCAGCAAACCCTAAACCGGAGAAGCAAGCAGCTTGCAGCTTCCCTGCAGCTGCTGCGCATCGCCCGCGGAAGCCTTAAACCCTAAACCCTAAAGTAGGGTTCCCTGCGAACGCAAAGCCCTAGCCTAGCTTCGCCCAGGACGCCTCGCGGAGCGCATCACTAAGCTCTCTTGCTGCTCTGTTGCTGCTGCTGCCGCTTCTGCTGCTGCTGCTTCCGCGCTTGCTGCTGCTCCCCTGCGCCCGCCGCCGCCGCCGCCGCCGCTGCTGCTGCTGCTGCTGCTGCTGCTGCTGCAGGTGGCGACGTTCATAGTGCAGAAGGTGCTGCTGGACGAAGTGGGACTTTCTTACATTTGCGCAACAGCAGAAAGGTTTTATGCTGTCTCTACAGTTCTTTGCAACATGGTCACGGGGGTGGTGGATTGTCCTTCCAACCGCCTCCTCAAACACGTCGTCAGGTCTGCAAACCCTAAATTAGGGTTTAGGGTTTGGGGTCTGGGATTTAGGGTTTGGGCTGTAGGGTTTAGGGTTTACGGCGCGGAGAAGGGCAACGGAGCGCAGGCCTACGCAGGACGCGCGGATTAGGCTTCAGGGTTTAGGGTCTAGGGTCTAGGGTTTAGGGTCTAGGGCTTAGGGTTTAGGGTTTAGGGAGCTGCTGCGCAGGGCACTGCCGCGGGCTGCTGGGCGGCTTTGAAAAGTGTCTGGGCTGGTCGCAGACAGTAGTGAAAACTTCCAAATAGGGTTTTCTGTTTGGTGTAGGGTTTAGGGTTGAGGGTTTAGGGTTTAGGGTTTAGGGTTTGGTCCGTGCAGGTGCTATCTCCGGTTGTCGGATAACTCGAGGGCGCGAGAGGCTTTAAGACAGTGTCTTCCAGATGCTCTCAAGTCAGTAACAGCAGCAGCAGCAGCAGCAGGAGCAGCAGCAGCAGCAGCAACTGCAGCAGCAGGAGCAGCGAACATCGGTTGCCCATCAGCTGCTGCAGCTAGCTGTGCATCAGCAGCAGTCACCTGCAGTGCAGCGACCGGAGCAGTTCTGCTGCAAACTGCAGCAGCAGCAGCAGCACCTGCAGTAGCAGCAGCAGCAACCACAGCAGCAGCAGCAGCAGGTGTGCGGTGTGTGCTGCAGGAACCCGGAGCTGCACGCGAGTCTTAAAGATGATCCTGCAACGAAGAAGTGGCTGATGCAGCTGCTGCATGCAGTGTCGAGTCCCCCGCAGCAGCAGCAGCAGCAGCAGCAGATTCAGCAACAGCAGCAGCTGCAGCAGTAGCAGCAAGTGCAGCAGTAACAGCTGCAGCAGCCGCTGCTGCGGAATCCGCTACAGCCGCTGCTGCTGCTGCTGCTGCTGAGCATCTATACAGAAGCAGCAGCAGCTGCTGCTGCTGCACCAGCTGCTTTTCGGCGCTGTAGCTCGTAGCTACAGATGCAGCAGCAGCGCAGCAGCAGCTCAGCTGCGGTCGCGCGCAGCAGTAATTCAGGACCAAGGGTTTAGGGTTTGGGATTTAGGGTTTAGGGTTTTCAGCGTTTGTATGAAAAACAGCTTGCAGTTTCTTGCTTTTTGTAAAGACCCCTGTAGTAGTTCTTTTTGCTTTTGCTCCTGGTGCTGCTGCTGCTGCAGCTGCTGCTGCTGCAGCAGCCGTTGCTGTTGCAGCTGCTCTCCATGCTGTCTATACACTTAGGCACAATAAAAGCTCGTTGGAAGCAGAGTAGGGGCTGCTGCAGCAGCTGCAGCACGGCAGCTGCAGCAGCTGCAGCAGCTGTTGCCATAGGAACAGTAGCTGGAGCTGCAGAGGGGCCGTAGCAACAGCAGCTGCAGCAGCAGCTGCAACAGCAGAAGTAGTTCAGCCAGGTCGCTTTAGCGGGGGGTTTGTTGCTGCCCTTTTGCCGTTGCTGCTGCTGTTGCTGCAGCAGCAGCTGCAACGGAAGCAGCCGTCCAGCCAAATCGTTTCAGCGGGGCCTGGTTGCTGCCCTTCTGCTGCTGCTGCTGTTGCAGCAGCAACTGCAACAGCAGCAGTTCAGCCAAATCGCCTCAGCGGGGGTCTGGTGCTGCCCTTTTGCTGCTGCTGCTGCAGCAGTGGCTGAAACTGCAGCAGCAGCTCAGCCATACCGCTTTAGCGGGGGCTGGTTGCTGCCCTTTTGCTGCTGCTGCTGCAGCCCGTCCTCGTCGTCGTATCTGTCCTCAGCAGCAAGAAGAGTCTGCCACTGCCTCGCCAGATAAAAGTCAAAGCGCTGGTCAAGCAAGCCCACGCGATTCAAAGCCTGCAGCAGCAGCAGCAGCAGCAGCAGCAACAGCAGCAGCGGATAGGAACGGTAGAGCTTGCGTGTGTGGCGCCTTGCCGCACACGTGTCTGCGAGTTTCAGCAGCAACAGCAATAGCAGCAATAGTAGCAGCAGCAGCAACAGCACTAGCAGCAGCAGCAGCAGCGGGAGCAGCAGCAGCTACAGCAGCAGCAGCAGCAGCAGCAGCGGGAGCAGCAGCAGCAACAGCAGCAGCAGCAGCAGCAGACCTCGCTCAGGTTGACAACGTCTGCTTTGGCTAGCTGCGTCATGCGTTCTGTGAGATAAGGAAAAAAAGCCTCAAAAAATTCTTTTTGCTGCAGCCCCAAATAAGCCAGCGAGCGCATGCAGCAGCAAAGGTCCTTCAGGCTGAATCTGCAGACACACACCTTAGGGTTTAGGGTTTGGGGTTTAGGGTTTGGGGTCTAGGGCTAAGTTGCGCAAAGAGGAATTCTAGTATGCGCGGGAAGTTAGGCCGCAGCTGCTGGTATGGCAGTGGAAGCAGCAGCAGCACTGGCTGCTGCTGCTGCTGCTGCTGTTGCTGCTGCTGCTGCTGTTGCTGCTGCTGCTGCTGTTGCTGCTGCTGCTGCTGTTGCTGCTACTGCTGTTGCTGCGGCTGCTGCTGCTGCTAGGCTTACTCATAGACGTGCGCACAAACGTAGTAAGCGATTTGCAGGGCGAGGGACCGTCCCTGCGCTGCTGCGCCTGCTGCTGCAGGCGGAGCAGCAGCAGCAGCAGCACCCGCAGCAGCAGCAGCAGCAGCAGGGGGCTGCTGGTGCAGCCAGGGCAGCGGGTGCTGCTGCGTCCTGCGGATTTTAATAAAAGCTTTGTTGCCTTTTTCTGTTGTCTTGAAAGTGCATGCATGCAGCAGCGAGCGCAGGAAAAGAGACACCAAAGGCGGCGGCAGCAAGCAGCAGCAAAGGTCCCCCGTGAACCTGCAGCAGCAGCAGCAGCAGCAGCAGCAGCAGCAGCAGCGGCGGCAGGTGTGAAGTGCGGCCACAGGGAGAGGAAGCAAACTAAGACAGCAAAGACATAGAAAAACAACCAACCAACGGGAGCAAACTGCTGATAAATATGCCTAGGGTTTAGGGTTTAGGGTTTAGGGTTTAGGGTTTGCGCCTCACCGCCTGGTGAGCCGTTCCAGAAATTCGGCGGAGACCTTCAGGTGTCTCCGCAGCTCCCCACACAGCAGCGCAACAGCAACAACCTGTGGGGAGAAGAAGCAGCAAAAGGAGAGAAGCAGCAGCAGCATTTAAAAGAGACAAGAGACACAGCAGCAGCAGCAAGGAGACAATCAGCAGCAGCATTTTGGAAAAGAAAAAGAGACGCAGCAGCAGCAAAAAGCAGCTCGCCTGCCGAGGGTCTAGCAGATCCAGCAGCTCCGGTTTGCTGCTGAGCTGCTGCAGCAGCGCAGCAGCAGCAGCTGGCACTTCGGGCCACGCGTGGTGGTACTTCAGCTGCAGCACAAACCAGCAGCAGCAGCAGCAGCAGCACCAAAGTCTGAACCAGCAGCGGCAGCAGCACCTGCTGCAGCAGGCTTGGACGCCAGGCACGTTGCACAAGCAGCAACAGCAGCAGCAAATGCGGCTGTTGCTGCTGCTGTTGCTGTTGCTGCTGGCTGCATAAAGACCAGCTGCAACGGCGCCAATGGCAGCAGCAGAGCCACCGCAGGCAACTGCATCCACACTGCCAACAGCAGCAGCAGCAGCAAAAGCTCACCTGCAGCAAAGCATCCAGGACCATTGCTGCCTGCCCAGCAGTGAGCTCTGTTGCTGCCACGTGTCCCTGCTGCTGCTGCTGCTGCCTTTCAAAGGACTCTCCCGTTGCTGCAGCAGCTGCAACAGCAGCGGCGACTGCTGCGGGGTCTTGATCAGCAGCAGCAGCAGCAGCAGCAGCAGCAGCAGCAGCATCTGCTGTTCGCAAGGCCTCGTGAATCCTCAAAGACACAAATGGCAGCACTTTGCTGCTGCTGCCAGCAGCTCGGCTGTCTCCAGGCGCTCCAAACCCCACAGCGTAGCTGGGGTGTCTGTACAGCTCGCGCTGCAGCGCGCCGACGCTGCTGCTGCTGCTGCTGCTGCTGCTGCAGGAAATAAGCTGACAGGAAAGGATCTCCTGCTGCTGCTGCGGAGAGGCTGTCTCCACTAGCCGAGTCGCTTCAGCTACAAAGTCCTCTGCGGTGTTTAGTTGCTGCTGCTGCTGTTGCTTCTGTTGCTGCTGCTGCTGTTGCTTCTGTTGCTGCTGCTGCTGATGCGAAACGTCGAAAGGCTGCAGCAGCAGACGGCGCTTAGCGCGCAGCAGCTGTAAAGCCAGCTCGGGCTTTGCTGCTAGCGCGTGGCGGTGCCGCAGCAGCAGCTGCTGCAGGAAGTGCAGCAGCAAGACGCGCTGCTGCATGCGCTGCTGCTGCAGCTTGTCGGCCTCTGCGAGCCCCTGCTTCTGCTGCTGCTGCTGCTGCTGCTGCAGCCGCTGCAGCATGTGGCGGCAGAAGCTGCTGTGCCGCAGGCCCAGCTGCGCATACACCCGAAGGCCTGCTGTCTCCTCCGCAGGAGACAGCAAACCCAGTGCAGCAAAACAGTGCAGCCGCCTGCAGCAGCAGCAGCAGCAGCAACAGCAGCAACAGCAGCAACACAAAGCTGCGCTTCAAGAGCAGCAACCCGATTAAACAGCAGCAGCAGCAGCATCAGCACCACAAAACTGCGCTTCAACAGCAGCAACCAGATTAAACAGCAGCAGCAGCAGCAGCAGCAGAAGGGGCAGCGCACCGCATGATTTGCTGCAGTGACTCCTTTTCAAGTTGCTCCTGGGTGTCTATACACCTCAGCAGCAGCAGCAGCTGCTGCGGCTCCGCATGCAGCAGCAGCTCGCGGTCGAAAGCCACACAAAACCTTCCAGCTTCTTTTCCAGCAGCAGCAACACCTGCTGCAGCAGCAAGAGAGAGCAACCTGCAGCAGCAGCAGCAGCAGCAGCAGCAG